CGTACCGTGCCATTTGCCAATTTGCATCGGCTTTGCGTTTGGAATTCGCTTCGGTTCGCCTGGTTTTTATTCGTTGCGTATCGTTTCGTCTCGCACAAAGCAGCAAGTGTATAGAGCTGGACAGTCAAGTTCAGTGAACTTCCTCCGCCATTGTTTGACAGGCCCCCTCACAGCGTCGTGTGGCCGCAACAAACACAGTCAGACGAGAGCTGCGGCACTAAGCACCCCCGTCGTTGGCGTGAGAATGTGGACACGAGAAGCCGAGGAAGGGGGTGGTGAGAATCCCCGCTGCCGCGCGAACATTGATCGAGGTGAGTCCTTGCGATTCAATTCCCAAGAAAGTAGTGTACAGATCTGTGAAAAGGTTTTAGTAGACGCGATCAAAAGGAGCTACAGCACAGTGACCACAGACTTCGTATGCAGATCAACAGCAGCAGGCGCCGCCGCTGTTCGTTAATTCGGCTAATTCGGCTAATTCGGATGATGCGCAGGCGAATTCCATTCATTGGCGGAACGACCAGGTTGGTGGACCAGAAATTAATAGAGCTCCACTGGCGACTTAACACAATCTTATCGTCTTCCTAGATGGACACAAGAAGCGCGCCGATAGTGTCGCAAGACGCGAGCCACGACAATCGCCCCGCTGCTGCTACTGCTGCACCTAACAGAAGTGGAGGAGATCGAAATTGGAGCACGCGAATCCGCGCTTCCATCGCACGTTTGATGGAGATCGATGGCATTTCCTTGGACCCGGAGAGGTACGCGAAATTAACAGAGGAAAAGCGGGCGGCAAAAGAGGCCGAGCGGACATTCCTCGAGAGAGTTGATCGCCTACAAGCTGCTAGTGAGGCAGCTCATAGAGAACATTGTGAGCGGTTGCGCGACGTGTATCCGGCCTCAACCGCGAAGAAAATGAGACTCGCGACAGTTGATCAACCATCTTCTTCAGGTGTAGCTAGTATACCGCCGTCAATGCCTCCAGCACCGTGCCACCCTAGGCACGAGGCATTGGACGCACTAGCAGTGGCCGCCGCCACAGAAGAATTTAACGAATCTGGGGCAACTATAAGGCCTACAACATCCAAAGGGAAGCGGCCTAACCGCCGACAAACGCTTTTGCACTTGGAAGATGGCGCAGGTAAGCTCTTCACATGTGTTCACATGATAATCTCTTTGATGACATACACTTCACAGGTACTGAGCAGAACCCAGTGCGTATCCACGACCCACAATTGGCCAAAGCCGTCAACAAACTCGCTGACAAATTGGCGCAGCTACTTGGACAGCTACAAGCAACGTCAGATGAGGCTACTGCTGAGCCCATACTCGCCGCTGCTGCGGCAGTCGCACTTGAAGCGACGGAGATGCGTCGCAACGAGGAAGTGGCATTGGCGCGAATGGTAGAAATCGAGGAGCACCGCCAGCGCATCATGGAGGGTCTTCTAGAGTACGAAATGCGTAAAGAGCAGTGGGGAAAGGACGAGAGCAGCGAAGAATTCACTGACAATTCGTCCAGCTTGCGCGACAGTATGCAAGACAGCAGCCTTGGCTGATGAAAGACAAGACTAAAAACTGACACCACGAAGTGCATCAACAATGGACCATGGCATGGCCTTGTAATAAAATGTATTCGTGTCCACAGTCAAGAGGTGAAAATGTCGGGTCACTTGCAGTAATTGAACAGTAAAAGTCCACAAGGACACTTCGTGCTAACGCAAAGCAGTGAAACACAACCATCGATGTTGTAGGGGTTGCACGACCATGTCACGTCCGACCGATGGTCGTGGCAGCAACTACAACGATAGTTTACGCGGAGACTGAAACGAACAATTTCGCGCGACGCCCGGTTCGAATGTATTACGCCAGACCATGGCCCAAAAAGAAGCTGACTACATATTCTACACCAGCCCCGGCGTTAATGCTGCACATATGAGCTTGTTGCTGCAGTCAGTGCTCTCGGTTCGCTGCACTGAACTTGCCATCATGTGCAGCAGCGGGTTTACGAGAGTCTCGGAAGCGGCAGGGCACGCTACAGATCCTCTGGACTGTTCATCGGCGAGCTGCGCTGTATTACGGCGCCGTGGCTTGGTGCGGCTTGCTAGACGATCGCGGTTTTGAAGCTAAACTTGCTGGACTGACTCATACCATACGATTTTGCGTTCCAAAACACGTCCAGGTCAATGTGCTGCGGTATGCTCAACCTGTGCGAGCGTGGCCAAGTCGACTAGCCCAATGAGGTGCATGGCAGCTTCTACTTGCGGGCTGCTCTGCTGTATCAGCGAAGAAGATTTGAATGACCAGCCTCATTGAATGGTGTGAATCATGCTTTTCTGGCAAGCAGATGCACGCGTGACCCAAGTTTCTTATCTACGCGCAAGTGCAACCGAGTTGGTGGTGTTTCATTGCTAAAGACAACGGCCTCTGGTCTCGAATACTTCCTAAGTATTCTTTCCAGCATTGTTTGTTGCACACAGTAGAGAGTTTCGGTGGAGAACAGAGTAAGCACCCATAATTCCTCGCCTGGAAATCACCTCACGTGTGAGTTAGCTCACAAAAGTACTTGAGCACATCCGTGGTATCAACGACCCTACCTGCTTCAAGCGGTGTTTGTCTACCGCTGGTATATTGGAATCCCCGACGAAAATGTAAGTGCATCAGAAGTGGGGCAGCTCCTCCTGTCTTTTCGAGCACGCAATTTATCAATCCTGATACTCTTGTCGATGTCTTGCCACCCGCTACGACGGCGACGGAATAATGTACGACCAGCCGGTATATCCATTCTGCCGACCGACCTGAATTTCTGCTGCCTCTGAGGAATATCTCCAACTGGTCAAGGGATTTTTAGCCAACTGCGGGCAGATCAAATGTGATTGGCTGAGACGCTTCAAGTTGTCTCACGTTCTCGAATCAAAGGCTCCAATAGCCATAGAGCCCTTCTAGAAGTACTTAATTTGATCTAGATTTTACAAAATACCTGAGAAATGCCAATGCTCAGTATCCATTTTTCCAACCATTCAAACTGCACGGGCACCACCTCAACGGGTAGCATCGCCCACGAGACTGCTTAGCTGCTGCTTTGTTGACACTTTGCACCGTCCTCAGGAGTTCGTTTATCTGAGTTAAGAATAATTTTGTGAGTCAGCGACGAAATTCTTCTCCGCACTGTGAAGATCTGCCTCCGTTCAAAGTTTACAGCCAAGAATTCGCTTCACTTCGCCTGGTTTTTATTCGTTGCATATTGTTTCGTATCGCGCAAAAGCAGCAAGTGTGAAGAGCTTTGGACAGTCGACTTCCTCCGCCATTGTTTGACGGGCCCCCTCACAGCGTTGTGTGGTTGCCACCCGCCCCAAAGTCGTATCAAGCGCTGCCAGATCAGAGACACAAGACTAAGCCCCCCGTCGTTGCCGCGAGAATGTGGCGACAAGAAACCGAGGGGGGTGATGAGAATCCCCGCTGCCGCGCGAACGTTGCTCGAGGTGAGCCCTGCAATATAATTACCAGAAGTGCACGATACCGATCTATACAAAGATATTAGTAGATGCGATCGAAAGGAGCTACAGCCCAATGACAAACCGACTATATGTGCAGATCCACAGCAGCTGGCGCCGCTGCCGTTCGCTAATTCTGATGATACGCGGGCGAATTACACTCATTGGGGGAATGACCAGGTTGGTGAAACAAGAAATTAATAGAGCTCCACTGGCGCCTTAACACGAAAGTACTGTCTTCCTAGATGGATACAGGAAGCGCACCGATAGTATCGCAAGGAGCAAGCCGTGACGAACACTCCGATGCTGCTTCTGTTGCGTCCACAACGCCTAATAGAAGTGGGCGGGACCGAAATTGGAGCGCGCGGATCCGAGCCTCCATTGCGCGCTTGATGGAGATCGAAGGCGTTTGCTTGGATTCAGAGGGGTACACGAGATTAACAGAGGAAAAGCGAGCAGCAAAAGAGG